ACACACGCTATAATTCACAAAGATTCACACACTTTACTATCGCGCTTGACTCAATTGTCCGTCTCGGTCTGTCTGCAATTATCTATATCTCTATATGTGCCATCACTTCTCGCCGGTCTTATATATATGAAATAGAGGGCTTCTGGTAAACACTCAAGCCTTCACAAATGTTCTAGATACTCATTATGTGTTACCAGCATCACGTGAATTCCGCTGTCATATCAGTATACTGATGTTATCTCCTGTGTAATGTATACTCATGTTATCTCTTGTATACTGGTTTTATCTTGTATAAGGTATACTGATGTTATCTCCTGTATAATGTATACTGGTGTTATGTTATTATAGAGGAGAAAACTCCAGTATACATTATACAGAAGATAACACTAGTTTACATTATACAGGAGATAACATGAATATATGTTATACAGGAGATAACGTGAGTATACATTATGCAGGAGACAACACTAATGTACATTATACAGGAGATAACACTAGTATACGTTATACAGGAGATAATGTGAGTATACATTATAAAGAAGATAACATGAGTATACGTTATACAGGAGATAATACCACTATATATATGTTACACTATATTATAGCATAATATTTTGGGACAACATGGGACCTATTGGTCCATCTTGGCTGTTCCATCCTCTAAACTAAGTTGAAATAGTTAAAAAAATGAATCTTAAAGCCAGCCCTTATCATTCATATACTTATCAAGCTTTTTCTTGAACTCGCTTAACTTTACTGCTTCTCCAAAATCTGAAGGCAACCCATTACAGAGGCCAACCACACTGTTAGAAAAATGAATTTGTCTTAGCTGAAGATTACACATGAGATAACGCAAGTATACATTATATACAGGAGATAACACGAGTATACATTATATACAGGAGATAACACGAGTATACATTATATGCAGGAGATAACACGAGTATACATTATATACAGGAGATAACACGAGTATACATTATATACATGAGATAACCCCAATATGCATTATACAGGAGATAACAACAGTACACACTATAAGAACATAACACGAGTATACATTATACAAGATAGCACCAGTATACATTATACAGGAGATAACACCAGTATACATTATACAGGAGATAACACCTAACTACTTTATACTGGAGATAACACCAGTTTACTTAATACAGGAGATAACACCAGTACACACTATACAGGAGATAAAACCAGTACACACTATACAAAAGATAACACTAGTACACATTATACAGGAGATAACACGAGTATACATTATACAGGAGTTAATACTACTATACATTATAGAGGAGGTAACAGTATGCATAATACAGGAGATAACACCAGTATACGTTATACAGTAGATAACATGAGTATACTGGTTTTATCTCCTGTATAATGTATACTTGTGTTATCTTTTGTATAATGTGTACTGGTGTTATCTTTTGTATAATGTGTACTGGTGTTATCTCCTGTATTAAGTAAACTGGTGTTATCTCCAGTATAAAGTAGTTAGGTGTTATCTCCTGTATAATGTATACTGGTGTTATCTCCTGTATAATGTATACTGGTGCTATCTTGTATAATGTATACTCGTGTTATGTTCTTATAGTGTGTACTGTTGTTATCTCCTGTATAATGTATACTAGTGTTATCTCCTGTATAATGTATACTAGTGTTATCTCCTGTATAATGTATACTGGTGCCAGCTTTTGTATAATGTATACTGGTGTTATCTCCTGTGTAATGTATACTGGTGCCAGCTTTTGTATAATGTTAATGGTGTTATCTCCTGTGTAATGTATACTGGTGCCAGCTTTTGTATAATGTATACTGGTGTTATCTCCTGTGTAATGTTGCCAGCTTTTGTGTAATGTATACTGGTGTTATCTCCTTATAGTGTATAATGTTGTTATCTTTATATAATGTGTACTGGTGTGATCTCCTTTATAATATTCACTGGTGTTATCTCCTTTATAATATATACTGGTGTAATCTCCTGTATAATGTATACTGGTGTAATCTCCTGTATAATGTATACTCGTGTTATCTGCTGTATAATGTATACTGGTGTTATCTCCTGTGTAATGTTGCCAGCTTTTGTGTTATGTATACTGGTGTTATCTCCTTATAGTGTATTATCTCCTTTATAATATGCACTGGTGTTATCTCCTTTATAATATATACTGGTGTAATCTCCTGTATAATGTATACTGGTGTAATCTCCTGTATAATGTATACTCGTGTTATCTGCTGTATAATGTATACTGGTGTTATCTCCTGTGTAATGTATACTGGTGCCAGCTTTTGTATAATGTGTACTGGTGTCATCTCCAGTATAATATATACTGGTGCCAGCTTTTGTATAATGTATACCGGTGTTATCTCCGGTATAATATATATTGGTGTTATCTGCTGTATAATGTATACTTTTGTTATCTCCTGTGTAATGTATACTGGTGCCAGCTTTTGTATAGTATATACTGGTGTTACCAGCTGTACAATGTATACTTTTGTTATCTGCTGTGTAATGTATACTTTTGTTATCTCCTGTGTAATGTATATTGGTGCCAGCTTTTGTATAATGTAAACTTGTATTATCTGCTGTATAATGTATACTGTTATTATATCCTATAAGTGTGTACTGGTGTTATCTCCTGTATAATCTCCTGTTTTTCTTTGATGTATAGTGGTATTGTTTTCTGTATAATGCATTTTAATATTCTTTTCTAATTTTTAATTTTATGTTTGGATTGCATAGGTGTACCTGACTTGGCCAGTTCCAGACTGTGCAGATGGATGTCCTGTGTCATGGATCAAGGATGGTTATTGTGATAGAGCATGTAATAATTCTGCATGTTCATGGGATGGTGGGGATTGTACAAAAGAAAGTGTGGAACATCAGCTTCATAATCAACAAAATGTGGGACTGGGAATTCACCAAGATTTCTCTGATGAAATTGAAAAAAGTATCTTTCATCATGTGATTTTTGTTGTGGACTCATTTGTAGTATAATATAATATAGTGTAATGTGTTATATAATAGAATATAGTATAATATAATGTAGTGTACTGTGTTATATGATATAATATAGTATAATGTAGTGTAGTGTGTTATATAATAGAATATAGTATAATGTAGTGTACTGTGTAATATAATAGAATATACTATAATATACACCTGG